AACTGATTTGATTTTCACCTAGAAAAGAAATCACCCCAAAAGACACATGCAAGTAAAATGAGATTAAGCATAGAACTGCTAGGCCCTTACTAGCAACCCCAAGAAATCATGTGAGAATATAGAAAAATTCGCTGAAATACCTTCCACAGTAATTCTGGCATGTCCAATGCAGATTGGTCAATTGCAAGCTAAAAAATAGCACATGCTCGCTCTGTTTCATCCAAAGACTTCTCCAACTCGGCAAATTTAGTCCATGCATAGCAATTTTCTGAAGACCATTCTAGGTATTTCTCATAAAGTTTTCGGCAACGATCTATGTTACCTAGGTGCAATTATATTTCAATGTACTTCTTGAATATCTGTAGGTTGCAAGAACACTAGTCAATATATCATTATCATTAAATGAAGAAAAGAAAGAAACACAGGCAATTCAAGAGATGCGTTCAGGGTACTATTAATGGGATAGAATGATAGATACCTTGTCTTTAAGGGCAAATTATGCTGTGCATCCGTATGCACCCTGCATGGTGCATACGGATGCAAAAACGACGTCATTTTAATAAAACGCGCGTCTCCCCTAAAAAAAAATCAGGTTCGATTCCCAGCAACAACATATGAACTAAAATTTCATAATCGATGAACTATAATTCCATAATCTAATCTATGAACTAAAATTTCCAGAATGAATGAACTAAAATTCCATAATCTATAAACTAAAATTTCAGAATCGATGAACTATAATTCCATAATCGATGAACTATAATTCCATAATCTATGAACTAAAATTCCAGAATGAATGAACAATATAATGTTGTTGCTGGGAATCGAACCTGAATTTTTTTTAAAGGAAAACCGCGCGTTTTTTAATAAAACGACGTCGTTTTGGCATCCGTATGCACCACACCATGCATGGTGCATACGGATGCACAGCATAACGATTGGGTATATTGAGGCAAGGGCAGATGGGCCAAATTAATATATGTATACTAGTCCAAGTATTCCTAAGTGAGGCCCAATTTAGTGGTATGAATCCTACTCGCAAACTATTCTGTTGGCCCGGGTCCACTTTGGATTAATATTCAATTCATAACATTCAATTAACATATTAATTATATGCCGATATTAAATAAAATTGAGAGATAATTTGTTAGTTATAGATATTATATGTGTCTAATATATTAACTAACACACAACAATTATAAATTTATTTTTCTATTAAATACTCTTATTTTATTTGTATGTAAATTGTGCAAACTTATACAAATAACAAACATTTTATCATAGTTTATATTTAATTTTGGTGTATTTTATATGTTATGGAATATAGAATAGAGATGAAACGTTTTTATATATTGTTTCGTATTATTTATTTGTTTTAATCTTATCAATTTAAGAAATATTTTAAATAGAAAAATACCTTCCTTTTATAATATATATAAGAATTGTTCTAGCGGGTTATAAATAGGTTTGTTGGTTAATGATTTTGCTTAGGTGTGATAAAAATGTTAGTGCAAAATAAGAGTAAGTTAATATTCTGACATCTAGCATGTTGTAAAGGACTGACTTTTTGCTGGTCTGAGAAATCTTTCAAAAGCTGAAAACTTCAAACTTTGCATAACTTATCCATACTGTTTTGTACGGCTCAAAAGCGGCGCCCTCATACAATGCTCTAGTCCTTTCATATTCCTTGAAAGGTTTGTATGATTCTAACAAGTGAACCAGTTGAGATTGGGATTGTTTAGAACGGGAGAATGGTGGCAGATTAAGTGACTTCTGTTTAAAATGCTTTTGGTACACAAATCTATTTAGAAACTCGCAATAACCAAACAATGGAAAATGTGAATATGTTTCTATAACCACTGTTAAGGAAGGATTATTTAGGCAATATTACCTCAGAAATAGGTGGTGCCTTCATAAATTGGCTTGTTGAGTAAAAATTTGGAAATATAGTTGAAAAATTCAGTAGCAAAAAGATATCACGAAGTCAATATATGTTTATCACAGATTGAAGAATAGAACAAAATATAAATATACATATTTACTCATAATCAGTCACAAGCTAATAGTCTCAAAACGAAGAAATAAATGATTTATGAATATTTTGTCTTATAGAAAAGAGAATACAAAACGCTATAAAATACATACTTAAAAGACTACGGATAGAAAAAAAGTTATCATATACCTACCTACCTAAATCTCTAAGACTGCTTAATTTATAGATATTCCAAATATTAAATATATTTCATAACAATCATAACGAGTGATCGAAAATATTATATTCTCTTCTATTTTGACGGGTTAGAAATGAACTATGATATCAACAATTTAAAGCCGCCGACTATCATTGCGAATAACACTGCATAAGCTAAAAACATTATGCTAGATGAGAGCAATCTAATCGCCTATACATTTTGTTTATTAAGTCCTGATTTTCTAGTGACATTCGTGGTATTTGACCACATTTAGGAGGTCCAAGACTACATTAAGGTCATTGATAATCAATTTGTCAGTTCAAACAAAGCTTTGACAAGCACCTTAATCATGAAATTTACCTCCATTTGATTTTAATTTCATCACCAAAGATATGCACAATCACATATGTAGTTAAGGAATATTGCAGCTCAACTTGACAAGTTGGAGATAACACTTTCGGATTCATGTGTAGTGCACTTTGCACTAAATACTCTCTCTCAAAAGTATAATCCTTTTAAAATTTCATATACACACACAAAGAGGAATGGTGTGATCTATTCATGACCTGATAATCATGTGTGTAAGAGGAAGGGAGTCTGCTTACAAAGCAAGGGGAAAGTGTCGTGCTCGCAACAGCAAGGCCTAAAGCCATCTGGACCACTACGGTTTAAGGGAAAGAAAAAATGACCACTCAAGCTGACATTAAAGAAGCACACAAATGCTGCTTCTATAAAAAGAAGTCTAAAAAATATATAATCTCATCCTTTGTTAGTTTGGAATTCAATATGTCATATGTTAATACTAGGGGCGGAGCCAGGATTTGTTGGTGCGGGGGCCAATATTAATTTGAGAGAGGATAACGATGAACTGAGAATAATTAACTCCATAATTTGATGGTAAAACTTCTCTACTAACTTGCAAACGTCATCAATTCTGAATGATATACGCATCTCTTTTGGATCTAACGATGAACTGAGAATAATTAACTCCATTGTTTTATCATCATATCAAACCTATTGCATGCTCAACTCTTGTACCTGAGAATTAATCACCGCATTAAAAATATCAAATTTGTAATGATGCCCAATTGTTAATTCATCTTGTTGATGCCTAGACCTCCTCTTCTTGCAATATATTAAGTATCAAAATTCGGCACAATTATGTTGACAGTTTTACAAAAAAACTTCACACTTGCAACTAATTCATCACATCCACTATCTCTTAAATTTTGAATAAGAGACTTAGTAGATGACACAAGATGCATTGCAATCAATAGTAAAACTGTTCATTATTATGAATATATAGTTCAAAAATTATGAACATATAATTGTGAACATAATTATGAATATATAATTTTGTAATTATGAATATATAGATTCTATAATTGTAAATATGAAGTTCAAAAATTATGAAATATAGCTTTATAATTATGAACATATAATTCAGTAATTATGAACATAGAGTTCTGTAACTGTGAATATAGAGTTCAATAATGATGAATATAAAGTTCAAAAATTATGAATATATAACTTTATAATTATGAATATATAAATCAGTAATTATGAACATAGAAGCGTGTCTACCTTGCAAGATGGACACGGTTCTACGGCATACTGATTGATACTTCGGTGAAGGGAGCTAAAATAATAATAATATACTATTAATAATTTTTTGAGGAAGGGGGGCCAAGGGCCCAAGACGCCTAGTTAATTCTAAATCCTCCTCAGCTTCATCAGTATTAGTATTATTAATTTTTTTTTAGGGGGGGCCAAGGCCCCCTGCACTACCAATGTGCCTCCGCCCCTGTTTAACAATTCACATTACAAATTCTTTGCAGAATATGTAAAACATAAAATAATCAATGACAAATGAGTGAAACATCTTACGTGAAAATTAAGAAGATAGGTTTGACGGTTGAGGCTGTAGGGACATGCAATTTGATCTTAGAAAATGGTTTTGTTTTGGTGTTAGAAAGTACATTTTATGTACCAAGTTTTTCATGAAATTTGGTTTCAATTTATAGACTTGTATCATTAGGATTCCAATTTACTTTTTCTAACAAGTATTTTCAATTATTTCATAATTTAACTTGCAATTGTGTTGAAAATAGTATATTGAATTGTTTGATGGTCTTATCTGTCTTCATTTACAAAACAATGAAATTTATAATTTCTTACATGTTCAAACTGACACCAAACAATCTAATATTAACGAAAGCTCTTCAACGCATGTTGTGCAGTGGCACCAGAGATTGGGCACTTGAACGAATTAAAAGATTAATTAAAGACGGAATACTTTATTTTGTACTTTAAACTTTACTGATTTCTTAACTTGTGTTGACTGCATTAAAGACGAGTAGACTAACAAGTCAAAAAAAAAGAGGTGCCCACAGAAGTTTAACATTGTTAGAGATAATTTATGAGATAATTTATGTCATAAGCGAGTCAGCCTATACACATAACACATGCATGCATGTCATGCACTGTACTATTATTAATTTATCTATCTCAGCTCTTATTTTCTCACCTTAACTATATAACAATTTGTCTGTCGTAATTGCTCATATATATATATATATATATATAACCAATGCTATATATTTGATTGATCGAGCAAAACGCGCTCTGATCTCAATATCACATTTAATTTAAGTCCATATTGTAAACATTAATGCGTTTTCTCTCTAATCTTCCTATATAGTACGTCGATCATATCCCCTAGCCAGATGCCCCCCTTGGAATTGTAGTATAACTAGGGAAATTAAAGGGTTTAATTCCTGGCTTGTTTGTTTGGGTGTAACATTTTATTTAATTTGGAGTTGCATACAGGCTTCCCTAGCTATTACTCCAAATGGTCAAAGAATTCAATAATTGAAAATTGAACCGAAAATACAACCTTATTAATTAGCTTTCAGATCGGACCGTGATTCTTTTTCCTTATTTCATCACTGAACAATAACCATTCAAAAGAGATCGACATGATTATAATTTATATAATCATAAGATCAGATAGATTATACTAAGATGTCAAGGAATTGTTTACTTGGGTGGTCGGAGTCGGGAGAGGGTGCAAAGTCGAGAAGCTCCCTAGAATCGGCGGCCCAGGGCTTGACCACTACAACAGCATCGTAAATCCTTCGAGCGCCGCCGGAGCTGGCGGCGGAGATCTTGAGGTAGTACTTGAACCCGGAAACCACCTGCGTCTCCGCCTTGACCACCTCCGAGAAGCTAAGCAAGCCGCCGCCGCCTTGTTTCTCCTGCAGGACCTTATTGTACTCGCGCACGCAATATCTTCCCAATTCTTGAACCTCCTCGTTGTTCTTCACGTCCTTCACCTCTGTCCTCCCGCCCACCTTCCGTCCGGCGGCGTTCGCCTGTGCCGAAGACGAGGCTGATGATACTAGCAGAAAGAGGGTAAGAAGCGGAAGCTTAATAAGTAGTGTTGCCTTTTCCATTTTAATTTGCAGGTTTTGATAGTGGAATTGAATTATTGGCAGATAATAAACATTGGCTGGAAGGGGATGGGAAGAGAAGGGTTTATGTAGGAGAATGGTGTGAGGACACGTAAGAAGACGAGGGTGATTGTGGCAGCATCTACGCACTGCCGCGTTTTCAATACACCTCATCACCTTTCAAATCAAATTGTCTAAATGAAAATAAGATTATGATATTGTTTGGCTGCATAGCTTTTAGCTTAGCTTCTTTTCTTAAATTAAATTAAACACCTTTTTTATGATTAAATTCAAGTGTTTAATTTAGTCCAACCATTAATATAGATGCTTGGTAAATACGAAGTAGTTTTTTAGATTAATTTTTTACCTTTTTAATTTTTTTAAAAAATTAAACTTATTTTGAAAATAACTTTATTAGATCAATTTTCACTTTAAATTTTGAGGAATTTTTTTTTTTTTTGGAAAAATAACACTTTTTATCCCTGAGTTATATACTTATAGCACTTTTTCCCCCTCAGTTATTTAGGTAAGCATATTAGCCCCCTCAATTATTCTAAAAGTGGTGCTTTTTCCCCCTGATATATTAAATTGACATTTAACCCTTAAAGTAAACATTTTATTTATTTTACTACTCCAACAAATTATTGCGTATACGTAGGGATGACCACGGTTCGATTTGAATTGAACCGGATACTAAAGCAATCGAATTAATAATTTCCGGTTATAATTCAGATCTAGAACTCAATATTTAAATGTCAATTTATTAAAATTATGTATCAAAAAAATTGAATCTTGAACCGTGAACCGGCGATTCTGGATCCGATTCGCAATTTTGAACCGTTTTTATTTTAAAATTTTATTTTTTATTTTAAAATAGTCTAAATTCAACAATAAATGTATTTTATTTTTTCAGTTCGGAACATGAACCGTCCGTTCCGGTTCACAATTTTAATAAACTCTAAATATCGAATTTCGATTTTAAATTGTAATTGGAATATTTCGGTTTGGTTGCTATAGTGTTTGTTTGGTTTGAACCAAATTATGGTCATAATTTGTTGGAGAAAAAAAATAAATTAAATATTTAATTTAAGGGTAAATATGTCCATTTAACATTTCAAGGGGGAAAACATCCACTTCAATAATTTAGGGAGAAAAAATGCTATAGGTATATAACTCAGGGGGAAAAAGTGCCATTTTTCCTTTTTTTTTTTTTTAATAACTGCAATCTAACATATTCGTTGTACTTGTTACTATACATCCTTAATTGGTATGTAATCTTTCCGTTTGGAATTAACCACATTATTGTCATTAAAATGATCAAATCACAATATACTTGGCAAATATTAATTTCCTTTTTAAAGAAAATAATATTATGTGTATTACCATTTTTTACTTCTAATTGAAGCATGTGCTCCATCTCAACTAAAAGCCTAAGCTGATAGTTGGATTGCACATTAATGGTTATATGCGAGGAACACGTGGACCGATAAACCGTAGTCGTTTACGAGTGGTGACCTTTGGTCTGGCTCTGATACAAAATTGAAGCATGTGTTCCATCTCAACTAAAAGCCTAAGCTGACAGTTGGATTGCACATTAATGGCTATATGCTCACACTTCTAACTTTTTCTCTCTCACATAAATTTTGATGTAGACATTTGTATTGAGAATTATATCTACATCATAGAAAAATTTAGGGAGTAAGATTTAGAATTCATATAGTATAACTCATTTTTTAAATATCTCAACTTATATTTTCAAGGGAAAATGACACTTTTTCCCCCTGAATTATATACTTATAGCACTTTTCCCCCTCAATTATTTAGGTAAGCACATTAGCCCCTTCAATTATTCTAAAAGTGGTGGTTTTCCCCCCTAATATATTAAATTGACATTTATACCCTTAAAATAAACATTTTATTTATTTTACTTCTCCAACAAATTATTGCGTATACGTAGGGATGACCACGATTCGGTTCGAACTGAATCGGACACTATAGCAATCGAATTAAAAGTTTCAGGTTATGATTCAGATCTAGAACCCAATATTTGGATTTCAATTTATTAAAATTATGAATCAAAGAAATTGGATCCTGAACCGTGAACCAGCGGTTCCGGACCCGATTCGCGATTTTGAACCGTTTTTATTTTAAAATTTTATTTTTATTTTAAAAATAATCTAAATTCAACAATAAATGTATTTTATTTTTTCAGTTCGGAACATGAACCATCCGTTCCGGGATTTTAATAAACTCTAAATATCGAGTTTTGATTCTAAATTGTAATTGGAATATTTCGGTTTGGTTGCTATAGTGTTTATTTGGTTTGAACCAAATTATGGTCATAATTTGTTGGAGAAGAAAAATGAATAAAATATTTATTTTAAGGGTAAATATGTCCATTTAACATTTTAGGGGAAAAACAGCCACTTAAATAATTGAGGGGGGAAAAGTGCTATAAGTATATAACTCAGGAGGAAAAAGTGCCATTTATCTCTTCCCTTATTTTTGAACTTTTTTTTTTTGTTTAATAATTAACTCACATTTCATTATTTTATTTTATATTTTAATGTGTTTGTTTATGAAAACAGTGAACAATAGTTTTCTATTAGATGTTCTTTAATTTTTAAGAAATAATTATTAAAAGATAATTTGTACTTATATGTAACTATTGTTAATTAATATATTATTGTTATAAAATAAATGAGTTAATTCTCAAAATGATATTTCGATTATGACATTTTTCTAAAATTAGTTATATGACTTTTCATTGCACCCAATTTGATTCTTCGACTATTGAATTTAAGTCACATTATCATTCATTAGCATTGGTATAAAGTTGGCATTAAAATGGAGGGAACGAGAAATTCAACTTCTATATGTTCATAATTTTATCAACTATATGTTCATAATTGTAAGTTCATAATGTCAGAGCTCTGTGTTCATAATTCCATAACTGTACATTCATAATTCCGTAACTGTACATTCATAATTCAATAACTGTAAATTCATAATTTTCGAAGCTCTATGTTCACAATTTTAGAGCTCTATATTCATAATTTTATCAATATATGTTCATATTGTAAGTTCATAATGTTAGAGCTCTGTGTTCATAATTGCATAACTGTACATTTATAATTTCATAATTGTACATTCATAATTCTATAACTGTACATTCATAATTCCATACCTATACAATTCATAATTTTCGAAGCTCTATGTTCATAATTTTATCACTATATGTTCATAATTGTAAGTTCATAATGTCAGAACTTTGTGTTCATAATTCTATAACTTACATTCATAATTCCATAACTGGACATTCATAATTCCATAATTGTACATTCATAATGCCACAAACGAATAACGCTGTTAACGTTAACGACGAGACAAATCAATTTAAAAAAAAAAAAACTAGAATGCCGCGTTTTACTAACGACGTCGTTTTGGACTTGTGTCCACATCATAATTTGCGAAGAATACCTAAGAAGATTGCTTTACTTTTTTTTTTTTTTTGGTTAAAACTTTTAAGATTTTCCTATTTTTGTTTGAACATTTCATTTTTTAAAAAAGTAATTAAATCAATTTCCTATTGATGGGAATGTGAAGAAAAAGGAAAAAGAAGTAAACCAAGGATTTGTACAACTAAATTGGTAATTTGAATAATCTCTAGTAATTAATATATGATAATAATCCTCTTTAAGAACTATAATCCATTTTTACATTCCAACAAGTCAAGGATTTCAATGTACTACAATTCTATATTACTATTATCATAATTCGTTTTACCAGTCAAAAGTGTAATCTATATAATTATCGTAGATTACAAGATATTCATTCATATTTATGAAATCATATTAATGAACTTAGATAACTGAGTCTCCTTTCTATACGATAACTCAAACAAAAACAACACCATCCAAGTAGACATAATTGTTGATTTGATAAACACAAAATTAGAAGTTACCTTAGGTGGGTTGTTAAGTTAAAAATAAATATACCTTTTTATTAATTATATAGTACTCTTACATATTTAAATATGTTTTTATTTACAAATAATATATTATTAAAAATATTATTAAAATGTTTTGAATATTATACCCTTAAGATATCCGATTTAATTTTTTTTAAAATAATATTACAAACTGGAACAAGGAAAAATAATAGGAAGAAAAAGAAGAAGCTCTTGCAAGTTGTAGCAAACTAGCAAAATTCAAAAAAGTCAAAACAAACGCTCCTTTGTGGCTTTGCCTGTCTAACGATTCATTTATATATTTTTATTTTATACAATTTATTTACAAACGTCAGATATTAAAAAACAGTGGTAAAATACAAAAAGAAAAAATAAAGAAAAAATGGATCCGATGCAGATCAAACAGCAAGCCATTTTCCGCCTGAAGTAGATTCAAAATCATTACCTCCGGCCCCAGCCCTCCAACGGCTATTCTCTCATCTTTCTCTCTCTATCTTCCCGGTCAGTTTCTCTCGCCGCATTGTCAGATTCTTCAATCGAACCATAGTTATCTCTCCATTTCTCTCTCTCTCTCTATCTTTCTCGTCGACAATGAAGCCTATTCTGCAACCGAGAAACGAGGCCTCGGTGAGTCCGAACCCTAGCTCTGTAAAGCAATTGCAGAAATGGCCTACGCCGCCGCTACCGAATTCCAGCGGCAGTAGCCGGAAGCAGAGAGTTCCCAAGGAGAATGCTCCGCCGCCAGATCCGTACTCGTCTCCGTCGGCCGCGATGAAACATAAGAGTCCGCTTCCTCCTCGGCCGCCGAACTCGAATCCTCTGAAGCGGAAGCTCATTATTGAGCCGACGGGGTCTGAGACTGCGGTTTCTGGCTCTTCTGACTCCGGAGTCAAAGTAATTTCTTTGAAAATCAACCCCGTTCTTGTTATATTCTTTATCATTTGATTTGTAACTTGTCGTTATTTCATTTCTACCAGTTTACTTAAAATTCAGCTTGTTAAACTCGTTGATTTTTATTTCTTCTCTTTCAATTTAAAATAAAATTTAAAACGATACGATTAGGATTCACTTTTGGAAGAAAATAATAAACCTCAGCTGTTTATTTTAAATGCAAAATAGTTAGGATATTTATTCTCTTTTGTGTTTAGATTTTAAACCTTATTGTTCAGGTTTATTGGCTTAATTGTGTTTTTCTAGATCTAGTGGATGTTAGGGCATTCTAATGATTCTTAAAAAAAATAATCTATATAATTGAGTAAATTTTAGTTGCATTTTGGATTATGTATTTACTCTTCTGAGTTCTGGCTGAAGTTGGGAACAAACATTTTTTTTTCCCTACTGCTTTATATGGTAACTTGGAAAAAGGCAACAAAACAGAAGAGCAGATGTAACTTGTTCTTCTTTTGCAGTTATATCTTACTAGAGATAATAATGGTAAATTCTCTGTTCATATATACCAGGTTATAGTGAGAATGAGGCCACCAACCAACGGTGAGGAAGATGGAGACATGACTGTTCAGAAAATCTCCAGCAATTGTGTATCTATAACTGGACATACTTTTACATTTGACTCTGTGGCAGACACCCAATCAACACAGGCAAGCTAGCATTATATTGATGTTTTCAGAATAAAAAGAAAAACTTGATTTTATCAAATGGAGAAAGAAAAGCATGTTAAGATGTTTCTCATTGGTCGTTTTCCAGCTTGATATATTCCAGCTTGTTGGTGCACCTCTTGTTGAAAATTGCCTTGCTGGATTTAACAGTTCAGTTTTTGCTTATGGACAAGTATGCTTTTCCCACTTATCTCCTACTCTCTGGTTCTTGTAATCTATTCTTAAACTATAAAAAATTCAGTACGTGCAATTTTCTGCCACTTTAACACTTTTGGTGTTGCAATGCGGTATAATATACCTAAATTGAATTAATTAGACTGGGAGTGGGAAGACATATACAATATGGGGACCAGCCAACGCCCTGTTGGAAGATAACTTATCAAGTGATCAACAAGGCTTGACACCACGTGTTTTCCAGCACCTTTTTACAAGAATTGAACAGGTGATCTTCTTTTGTCTTGTTCAGCTTGTGATATATTGTTGCATGTGGCAATTATACTCACACATATAATGAGATTTAATTTAACTTTTTTTTTTTTTTGGTTATTCAGGAGCAAATTAAGCATGCTGACGAAGAGCTCAAGTACCAGTGTCGTTGCTCTTTTCTTGAGGTGAGTTTCTGCATGGATCCTTTTTAATGACAAAAATATGTCCATAATTTTACATTTTTACTCAATCCTTTGTGTGTGGAAATTACAGATTTACAATGAACAGATTACTGATTTATTGGATCCAAATCAAAGAAACCTACAGGTAAAAATTAAATGGATACATAGTACTGAACCCCATCACCCTTGATTTTATTTATGTAAGCATTTCTCAAATCTGGGCTTCCCTTTCAGATACGAGAAGATGTAAAAACAGGTGTTTATGTCGAAAACTTGACAGAGGAATGTGTTTCTACTATGAAGGATGTGAAGCATCTTTTATTAAAGGTTTGCACTTCTTCATTGGTTATTATTATTATTATTATTATTATGAACATGAATTCATGTCTCGGTTATTTGTCTGAGAATACATATATAGAAATGTTAACACGTTTTCATGTCTGGTTGTTAACCATTTCTCTGTTGTGAGATGTTGTAACTGACAAGGCAGTTTTACTAATAAAATTTAATCCAGGATAAAACAGTAAATTGTTTTATCTTTTAAATGTCATCTACTATGTCTGTGTGAAATATAGAAACTGGAGTGAATGGACAATTTTTTTGGTTCCCTCAAGTCCTTAACCATCTGCTTCCAAGATTTTACCGATAATATCTGTTTCAAATGTAGTGGTTCACTATCGCACTGTATACTCCCATTCATAGGGAAATGAAAGTAAATTGATTGAAAATGTGATATAGATATTAGATATTGGATGTGGCTGATAGTAAATTGGATGTTTTAGATGGATTGCCCAAATGCCCATGTATATCTCTATTACCTGTATATTGTATAATCATGTAATTTGTCTGCCTTGCTGATACATTATATATATATATACACACATTGTGGTTGTAATAATAGTATGGCGTATGGCATAATATATTGTTTGCAATTTCTGTAGGGATTGTCAAATAGGAGGACTGGTGCAACAAGTATAAATGCTGAGAGTTCACGTTCACATAGTGTATTTACATGTGTGGTTGAATCACGATGCAAGGTAACAATCCCCTGCTTATCGAATTAATGGTAGACAATTATATTTTATATCTTTGAAATGTAGAGGAAGTTGAATTTCCAGAGAAGTCTGGCTTTTCTCCTAGTTGAACCAACATCTTTCATGCTTTAAAAGATCTCTGATAGTAGTAATGCTCCATGAGCAAACATGCATGTACTTGGTAGTGTAATTCTCTCCTTTTCTCCCTAAACTTCCTATTCATCCTAATTTGGTGTTTCAATTTACAGAGCATGGCAGATGGCTTAAGCTGCAGAAAGACAAGTAGAATAAATCTAGTTGACCTTGCTGGATCAGAACGACAAAAGCTGACAGGTGCAGCTGGAGAGCGATTGAAGGAAGCAGGGAACATCAATCGATCACTTTCTCAGCTTGGGTATGGCTGCAAATTATTGAAAAGTCTTTGGTGTTTGGATGGATGTGTTATGTTCAAGAATTTCACTATATTTGCAATTTCTATTGCAAATTCATACATCCCACTCAAGACTGTTCTGTGAAGTGCTGCCTTATGAATTAGATAAACTTTTAAGGCCTGTTTTTGCTACATGTAGCTAATGTCTTGTTGAAGCAAATATTTAAAACAATGTCCTCTGCAGAAACTTGGAGTATGTATTATTAAGGCTTTTACTGATAAAATCTTGATTAAACTATGAGAAAAAAAGATGTATAGTGGTAAATGTTCACTCTGTGGAGAAAGACATAGGTGTTTGCACATAAAGATTTATACCAATTACTTGAAGTGGTAGAGATTTATGCACATAACTTTAGTATAGATGTTTGCAGGATTACTACGGAGTTTTATTTCTTCTTAGTTTTGTCTGAAACTGATTTAAATATTTTGTGGAAAATTAGGATGGATCAATGGATGTATTTTGGTTACTTGTTTTTGTATCTGGTCCTGATTTCCATTGTTTCTTGAATCTCTTAGGAACTTAATAAACATTCTTGCGGAAGTTTCACAAACAGGGAAGCCAAGGCACATTCCATATAGAGATTCGAAGTTGACGTTTTTATTGCAGGAATCCCTAGGTGGGAATGCAAAACTGGCAATGATCTGTGCCATTTCTCCTTCTCAGAGGTGAATTGAACCCTGTTAATGCTTCTTTTCATATATATATATATATATATATATATATATATATATATATATATTAATTCTCTGTCTGGTTCTTTTCCAATATGTGGGAATTTTGACATGAAAAATGCAGCTGCAAGAACGAGACTTTCAGCACACTGAGATTTGCCCAACGTGCAAAGGCAATCAAGAACAAGGCTGTTGTCAATGAAGAAATGCAGGATGATGTGAATTTTTTGAGGCAAGTTATACGGCAGTTGAAGGTATATACTATGTCTTCACTCTTTGAATTCTCTTTTCCCTTGAATTGTTCTGTTTGGGAATACAAAGTGATAAGTAATAGTGTACTATGAAGTGTTAGGCTTCCCCATGTACTTCCTGAGTGATATCAATAAAATGAAAACTTTGCTTTTGTTCAATCTATTTTCTTCCTATTATATTACATTATTGCATTTGTCCTTTAATGTCTTTGCTTTGTTCTTCTGGACAGGAGGAACTAATTCAAATGAAGACGAATCAAAAAGACCAGAATGGAAATTATTCTACTGGATGGAATGCCCGGAGAAGTTTGAATCTGTTAAAGTTTAGCCTCAATCGATCACTGGCAGTACCTTTTGTAGATGATGATGGTGATACATTAATGGAAATTGTTGAAGAAGCTGAAAGACTAGATCTCCAATCAAATGCATTTAATGTGGAAACAGGGGCTGCATGTACTGAAGAAATTGCTCATGAAGATATGGATGAAGAACCGACTCCTGAGAAGTCTCCAAATTGCTCATCTAATCTCAGTATAGTTCCATGTGATATTCCAAAGTCTCCTACTCAAAGTGTTTCACCAAGGGTGGTTAATACTGGCAGTAGGAAAAGTCTTAGGACTTCATCAATGCTAACTGCCTCTGAAAAGAACCTTATAGAAAATGAGTTGGATGCCTCAAATTCATCCTTGACAAAGCCCTCAAACAGCACTTGTTTGAATACTCAATCAACACGAAGTAGAAATTGTTTTAAGTCAACTGAACATTTGGCTGCTAGTCTTCATCGTGGTCTTGAAATCGTTAGCGCTCATCGACAGAGTGCAGCTTTAAGAAAGTCCTCATTTAGATTCTCTTACAAACCTGCTGAAATTAGAGCAATAGTACCAGTTACTAAAGTTGATGTGGGTGTCCAAACTGTTCTTAATGACAATGAGTCATTCCAAGAGGGTTCACTATACTTGTGTAGTAAATGCAAGACAAAAAATTCTTTACAAGAGCCTAAAGATGCCAGTGATAGTTTAAATCTGCAGTTAGTACCTGTTGATGGGTCACAGTCTTGCGATAAATTCAAGGTTCAAGTGCCTAAAGTAAGTTTCTGAAGCCTAGAGTGGAATTTAGAGATTAATTTTGTCATAGTTGTTCTTATGTCTCTTTGACAATTTACTTTTCAGGCGGTGGAGAAGGTCTTGGCAGGAGCTATACGGAGAGAGATGGCACTGGAAGAAATATGCTCCAAACAAAGTTCAGAAATTATGCAACTAAACCGTTTGGTAGGTTATCTCACTCAATCAAGAACTGTAGTTTTCTTTCTTTCAATTTGTGTGACCTTTCTTTTTACTACCAATCACAGATTCAGCAGTACAAACATGAGAGAGAATGCAATGCTGTAATCAGTCAAACACGAGAAGATAAAATTGCACGCCTTGAGAGCTTGATGGATGGGGTCCTAATAACTGAGGATTTTATGGAGGATGAGATGTTGTCACTTACTCATGAGCATAAGGTATGCCTTTGCCCTTTGGCTCTTTTACTTTAGTCATGTGGATTCCTTTCCTCTCATCATGCATTGTTTCATTTGGTTTCAGATTCTGAAAGAAAAATATGAAAATCATCCTGAACTTTTAAGCACAAAAATAGAACTGAGACAAGTACAAGATGAACTGGAAAGGTATCGCAACTTCTTTGACTTGGGTGAGCGGGAAGTACTGTTGGAGGAGATTCAGGATTTGAGAAGTCAACTGCAGTTTTATGTGGAATCTTCACCTAAGGCATCCAAAAAGCAAAGTCCATTACTGCAATTAACATATTCATGTCAGCAAAGTGTGGGAACACCTTTGTCTGCAATTCCAGAACCAGTGGAGGATAGTGCTGAGCATAGATCTTTGTCTGCAATTCCAGAATCAACAGAGGATAGTGCTGAGCAAATACTTGAAAGGGAGAGACTGCAGTGGACTGAAACAGAAAGTAAGTGGATCAGTCTTGTGGAAGAACTGAGATCAGAGCTTGAAGCTAGCCGAGCACTAGCTCAAAAGCAAAAGATTGAACTTGAAATGGAGAAGAAGTGCTCAGAAGAGCTGAAAGAAGCAATGCAGATTGCAATGCAGGGTCATGCACGCATGCTTGAACAGTATGCTGATCTCGAGGAAAAACATATGCAACTGCTTGCTAGGCACAGGAAGATCCAAGATGGAATAGAAGATGTAAAGAAAGCGGCTGCAAAGGCTGGAGTAAGGGGTGCCGAATCTAGATTCATAAATGCTCTTGCTGCAGAAATTTCAGCACTTAAAGTGGAAAGAGAGAAGGAGAGGCGATATTTCATAGATGAAAATAAAGGACTTCAGGCTCAATTAAGGGACACTGCCGAGGCTGTAGAGGCTGCTGGTGAGTTGCTTGTACGGCTAAAAGAAGCAGATGAAGCTGTTCAAGTTGCTGAGGTAACTTTAGATTCTATAATTTACTCGTTATCATTTATTCTCTTATACTATTTTATGTCACTGTTCTGAAGATGGATGTGGTGGTGTCTGTTTGTATTCTGTGTGCGTATCTTTTCACGTTCTTTAAAATTTTGCTTTCTCCAAATTTTCATTTGGATATGGGGAGGGGTGGATGGGAGCAATCTATATATGCATTGCTTGCTTAAGTTGTTTCTTCATAAATCATAATGAATAGATTTGTGATACTGCTCCCTTGTGCACCTAATTGCATGTAAATGTCATTATTCTTGTGAACACAGTTAGGCCGCTGACAACCTTCTGGACCATGTTTGTGTAGTTATTCAGTTTGTAGACATTATTGCAAAAGTTTCAGTACAAAATAAATCAATAAGATGCTACATGTTTTGATTTTTTTATTTTTTATTTTTGAAAGCAAAATGTTTTGATGTTTTCTAGTTTCTACTGTAACCAGAAATTTGTATATGGTTTCAACTAAGATGCCAAATTCTTACAAAGGAATATGCAACATCGTTTCATTTGATCACAACGATCTATGTCTATACAATCTTAGGTGCTTCATAACATACATGGGTCCATGTCATTGTAAAATTTTCTGATTTCAGGTGGTGTACTTCTAGTTTTTACCTTCTGGTATATATTTATCACATCCAAACACTGAAATATAGATTATAACTTGGTATATATGTTTGCATGTTAAAACATTGGCACCTTATTGTTTTCTGATGTTTTTGCTATAGTTAATACATGTATTTACTCATGTCCAGAATCTATACATAATGTTACCCCAAAAAAAACTGCCTGCAAGGCATAAACACACTCACACTCTGCTATGATGTGCAGAAACGGGCCACAGGTGCGGAGCAAGAAGCCAGCAAGGCTTACAAACAGATTGAAAAATTGAAGAAAAAGCATGAATATGAAATCAACAGCCTGAAACAATTACTTGAAGAATCTCGAGTGCATAAAGAAAAAGAAGCCGTATATGATTCTGTAGAGGCATGCAGTGCGGGTAAGTATGATGCTGCAACACAGACACAGAGCTCTGGTGATCAACGGTGGAGAGAGGAATTCGAGTCACTCTATCAGACTGAAGAGGAGCTGGCAAAATTAGAACCCACTTCATGGTTCTCTGGTTATGACCGGTGCAACATATAGGACAGATGCTTTTTTTTTTTTTTTTCAAAACCATATAGAACGTGATGTTGTATGTACCAATGTAGTATGCTCTGTTATACAGATTAAAGAATCTTTTGGCCTTTTACCAACTTTGTGTTCAAATTTTATGACATATTGTTTCAGAGGTACTTGGAACATTTGTTGTTCTGAGACTTGTATCCTTGCCAATACAGTTCACATGGGTATATGCTCACTCTAGAGTCTAGACACAACTGAAATCTCCAACGTTATCTTGTTTGTTTGTTTGATACTGAACTTCTCGGTCTGTGTGTATGACCATGTTTTTTCATATTACAGATTTACAGGGACAAGAACAAACTCAAACACATGCATACAGACAACCGCTGCAACGCCTGTCAAATGTGTAAGGGTAGATTAGATAACTCATTAATTTAATTGGTATTTGCTTATGTTGTTCTTGATCCTTTGCTTGTAGTCACACCAATAGATGCTAAATTGCACGTTTCAAGTATATGGGTATTGAAACATGGATAGATCAACAATTTTTAGTTTACATATTACGAAACACAGATAATAAATTGTGTATCTATAAAAATACTATTGACAGATACCGTTGTCTCACTTATTATAAATGAAACAAGCATTATTGAAGTTAGACAATTTATTATGAAATGTTTTGAAATTTGGCGAGTCGATATTCATGCCATCTGTTGGATAAGGTGTGGGACTAGGAGGTGAGACAATGGGAAGTGTTGAAAGATATGAAGAATGAACATTGATGTTTACTAGCTTAGAGATCATTTAATTTCTGGGTTTGGATGTCAAGATGATAGGAGGCAGTGGGGTCTGTGGGTGAGACTAGTCTGCCATTGCCTGTGTATATTATAAAATGGGTAGCTTGAGGGTTGAGGCAGACAGTGTACACAAGCAGTTAAACTTGGGCAGATATTGTAGTCCATCTTGTCAATGGAGACCATTCAACAAGTAGCTTGTGGGATTGTCTTCTCTGACATGTAATTCTTCCAACTAGTGGACCATTCTTCTGCCCACAAATTCCTCTTTCACTCAAATAGAAGATGGAGAAGCTACCAAGTAGGCTCCAACCCTAGCCATATGTTAGCCATTGAAATGAAAGTATATCCATTTGGACCATTTCCCCTTTTATTATTGGAAAGGAATAGAGATATGGCCCTAGCTAAAGAGTAGCTTCAGCTTGCATTCCATGTTTATTTTGATGCAGATCCATGCAATTTGTTTATCCATGTCATTTCACTTTTGACAGTTAATTTATTAATACAACTATATTATTTTGATTTACGAAAAACAGTCATTAAAGAGCATTCGTAGCTGACTAGTTCAAATCAAGAAAACTATATATAACTTTCATGGAGAGTTCAACTTGAAGTCGTGTGGTATTCAACTCGGTTGGAATTACACACACACACACACACACACACACACACATATATATATATATATATATATATATATATATATATACAATAAAATTGTGATTATCTCTAAAGTATAGTCTTTTCAATATCACATGTAACATTTATTTTAAAATTGCTAAGTAGCTTGCAAACTTGCATTTGGGGGACCAATTTTTTTAAAATAAAGCATGACCCACTCTAAATTAATAAGGAATCTACATATCCAATAATAAAATGATATGTTAGAGAGTGATTGATAAGGAGGGGTAATTGTAGGAGTTTAGCATTGTCCACTGAGAATTAGAAATATGATAATAGGACACTAAGACTCATTTTTTGAAGTTAGAGACTAGAGAGTATCATATAAATAAACAAAACATAATAGATTCGTGTCAATTATATTAAAATTATAACATAATTCACTTTCTATATATAAATATTATTTTTTTAAAGCTATCGGTCAATATTAGTGACTTTTATTTTCGGTATAATTACGTACTGTGTGTCTAATTGTATTAGGTAAGGTGGATATATTAATGAACAATACTAAATACAACCCAATAAGTAGTTGTACCTATTATTAAACCACACCAATGTCATTTAACACTTGGAAATTCTCATAATTTTTTTTTATCTATTCTAATTTTTGTATTTTTTTTTTCTAATCATAGGAATGACAGAAAAATTGACCACAAACAATAGTAGCAGCCAAAAATTTAATAGGGGAAATGGCACTGAAAATGACACAAGAAAATTCAGATCTTTGATGCAGAAGGTGCAACAAAATAGTAACATGGGGGAACTTGTGTGACTGTTATTGTGGTCCTTTAAAAATAGTTAATAGTGTTTGATGTATAATAATATTGCTGGTTGGTCCACATATATAGAGACCCAACTCTATAGGAAAATAAATAAATAAATAAATAAATAAATAATTGTTGTGCGTTGACCAAGTTCCGTCTTTGCTCGATTTGTCATGGAAGGATGTGGTTAAATTGTTAATGTTCACCTACTTATCACGGATTGATTTTAAGTAGGATATCCAAAGAACTCTATTGTCAAACGTGCTTAATTTATATCAATCACAAGATGAATGACCCTGAGAAGTAAGCATAATGCAGTGTCCAGATCCAACAATAATATATTAATAAATAATAACAGCAAGTTTTTGAGCTGACAGACTCCCTCCCCATTTTCCAGAGATTTTGATGCTCTCAACCCTAAGGATAAAACAACCAAAATAAAAACAATCATCTTTAAGAAAAACAATGACATTTTTAATGTCTTGTGGCTACAAAGCTTTTGGCTTTTGTGTATGCGGCAAAAATCTTTGGATTGTTATGCAATTGTCGGGTGATTTTGACGGTTAAAATTCTTAAAAATTAAATGTCACGTTAAAATATCATCAGAATCACTTTTTATTGAAATTAAATAATTTTAACTCGATAATAAAGTTAAAACTTTTTATTATAAACATAAATTGAGATGTCAAATCTAAATCTAAATCTCTCCACTTCTTACCAGAATACATAATGGATTGTCAATGATCATTATACGTTAGATAAATGATCTGGTTGGTATAACAAAATGATGAAAGGTTCTTTAACTATAATTACATAATTTTTCTCTCTCTTCAATCACATATCACACCAAACCAAATAACTCAAGAGAAAATGGCGCCAAGGTTGAAAAGAGCAGACACATAAAAGTAAAAAAATGGGATTTTTTTTTTCTTTTCTTTAATCCATAAAAATTGTTAAACTTTTTTTTTTTTTTTTTTTGAGTAAAATTTACGAAACATGATTGCCGGAAATGAAAGTGAAAGTATGGTAAAATAACTAAAATGTATTGGTCCGAGTGAAATGGCTTTATGCTAAAATTATAAGATTGCGAATTTGAGCTATCTGTTCATATACATTAACATTTTTAGATCGAAAAGGTGTTTCGAATTAAGTCTAACTAAAATTGAATAAATCTTATATCGCAAGTTGCGGTTAATATTGCTGTGATATAAAAAAGAAGTGGGTATGATAAGTGTGTACAATATAAATGATGAGAGGAACAGTGTTAGAATGGTAATTATTGGACCCTTCAACCCCCTTTCTCTTCTTTCTCTCTAATTGAGAATTATTAGCTTTTAATAACCTTCCAAAGGAACATATTCCATCAATCCTCTCCTAACCACTAATCTTTCTATACTGTGGACCCTTAATTGCTTGTTATGTCAGCAGTTAATCATGCACTGCCATTATTAACACTATTCTTTTTTTTTTTTTTGTTTATTTTTTTAATAATAAAAATAACTGCAAATTAAACATTTTCACCAACCAAGTTGACTTTGTAGGTAGAAATATTATTATCTTTCATTCTTTTCCTCTTTAGCTTCTGATATTTTTCTTCCTACCTATCAGGAATCTACAGCTTTTCTTTTTTAGCTATGAGAACTTGCATATATATAAACCTATAAGGAATATTCTATCTTGTATGTGAAAATTCAATCTTACATCAAACTATGAAAATATTTTGAACATTTTATATTAAAAGCAAAAACTTTAAAAGAGTCCGGTGTTAAAAATAATACATACATACATACATATATATATATATACATATATATATATATATATATATATATATATATATATATATATGAGGTATGGTTAGGAGATTTGGTGTGGTGTTTGGAAGCTAGCCTTTGAGATTTTTCTGACAGCCTTTTCCTGGAAATTAAAGGCTTTCTATCCACAAAGTTGTGCCTATCTTCCTCCCAACCCCACTACTTTCGCATCTATTTATCCATTTTCTGCATTTTATATACGGAGTATATAATATGTTCATGTTATGTGAGAACAAGCTTTTAGATAAAAAGTAAAATTAATTAGATTTATTTATTTGAGTAGATCAACGATTGAAGTCTTTAAAAAATAAAGAGAAAAAGAGCAATGATTTTATAAATATTGTAAATTTTTTGCAAGTTATAAAATTGATCTCATATAATATATATATATATATATATATATGTGTGTGTGTGTGCGCGATTTCTTATAGTGTTTTGATTGTTTGGCCAACCCATAACTTCACTGCTGTCAACCTGGTGTACAGTGCTGTTAATAAAGAAAGATGGCCATCAATAAACATTCATTAAAATGGTACTTAAATGATGTTCATCAACAAAATTTATTAAAATGAAATGATTATGATTATAATTAGGATGAATAATCTCCCCACTAAGGACATAATGTAATTGGTCCGGATAAATAACATAAGATTTAAATTTAAATTTAATATTCAATGAAAAACTTACTTTTCAATTAGTCTAAAACCTTTTTTTTTTTAAAAATCACTCATTTCTCTTTTTGAAAAATTAAATAGAAGTATATTTAGGCCCGACAATATTATTATTATTTTTATTTTTTATTTATTTGTGTGTGTATGGATACATTTGATTGGGATGGATGAGTAGAAAGAAGCTAAGTAATTCAAATTTAGGTTTACTTCTAAGACATTCGCGCGAGTATGTCAACAATCAAATATGACAGGTTAAGTTGTACTTTAAAACTTACCAATATAACTAGTTTAATATTAAGAATTTATTAGTAATTCTATGAAATATCATACTATTTTGCAAAACAAACTTCATAGTAAATATTTGTGTGAGGTATAGCATTCAATTCAAAGTGACATTGGATTCCAGCTAAATGCAACATCCTTAGTAATCAAACAACTGGACTTAAGAGAGCATTTGTCCCCACTAACAGCTGGTTACAAATAAGAATCTAATCCTATCAAAAGTTACGCAATTTCAGGGTTTTTATTACATGGCCCCAACCATCTAAACAATATTTTTTCCCTTTGATTTTGACATCTCCACAATAACATATATTTGTGTACCACACCTACTTATCTCCTCATATCACCCTTCTATCTAGCAAACCACCAAATCACATGACAAATGTTTCTATGTTTCTATTTCTTTCTTACATATTACATTACAAAATTATTCAAACATCACATTTTGGCCTGTTAGCTGATCGTATTAATCGATTTGATACATTATAAAAGATATTCGACAGAATTAAGAATCGGACAACTAATCATATAAAATTTTAAAATGATATGAGGAAGATGTTTTACTACATTCCAATTTTCTATTATTGTTTTAATTGTTTACATATTTACTCTACAAAATAATTGTAAAATGTACTCTCTCTCTCTCTCTCTCTCTCTCTCTCTCTCTCTATATATATATATATATATATATATATATATATATATATATATAATATGAACACTTCTAAGATGTTGATTGGCACCAAGTGCAACCAAAAGTGAATGGAAAAAGTTTTGAGGTTTATGTATTGGGTATTCGAGACAAATTCTAAGGTGCAAATTGCACCGGGCACAACGAAGAGAGAATACAAAAAGTTGTAGGATTTTTTTGATACATTAAATTAGGTTTCGTAGTATATGCCAGATTGCCAGACTAATCCTACCCCCATATTGTCGTTGGAGTAAGATTTTAAGGTAATCAGTCAAATAATCTAAGTTTAGCCCTACGGGCACCAATGGGCGGTGGTAGACTTTTCCTATATAATATTACAAGAGACCTTGACACCAATGAGTATAGTAGTCTTTTCCTATATAATATTACTCATGCAAATAAATATAAATTAAAACACATATTTTTGTACTATGTGATATTTCCCATTTTCCTTGACTAGTGAATATGAGTAATACTATACATATTTTCATTTTTTCTCATTGCTTAGTTGACTTGCTTTGATTCATCTCTTTTCCCTATATCAATAAAATTATGACACGTGGTGAGAGTTTTACTCCTTGAGAGTCTTTATATTAGTTTCTTAAGTTATAAATGTGTTTTTTCATCTTTTCAAAGCTTATATTGACTTTTAATCTTAAATAATTCTTTTTCAACTTTTTTGGTTCAAAATCTAAACGTAACTTCACATTGATATAAGAATGTGTCAAATCTAATTGTAACGATATCTATACGGTTGAAAATGTCTCATAAGTTTGCCGCAATTGGCTCATAATAATAATAATAAAAATATTTGTCCTAGTTAAAATATATATTCTAACCACATAACCTACTTAGAAAAAAAAAAAAAAAAAAAAAAAGAAAGGCACTTTCCAAAATCAATGTGAATCAACACACAAAGGGTAGGGGTAAACTGAACTTAGATGAATAGGCAAATAAATTAATTAGTAATGAAAATTTTGAATTAAAATGTGGTTTGATATTACAATGAGTTACATACTATCTTCCCTCTCATCAACCAACCCTTGGACACACATCTTATCATCAGCTACAATATGTTACATGTGAAATTTCTGGAGTTCTCACAACAATATGATCTCTAATCCTTCTCCAATTTTTTCAATGTAAAAAAAAAAAGCAAAAAATCATAATAATCAGCTGAGTAATGGCTAAATTAATTATGGAACAAGAATGGATGGGGGAAAAATTCTCTTTTTCTTGAATCCAGAATTCCTCTGATCCTCTCTGTTGAACGGCCAAGTCTCCTGTACATATACAAAAGCCTCTCCCAATTGGGGCCTTAAAATGAATGGTGGAACAGTTTTTGACTGTTGTGTGATCATAGCTCAACTTTCATTTCAGAAGCACCCACAGTTCCTGCATTTATTCATCATCATCCCAAAATAAGATGCACTCAGAGGTAAAAAAAAAAAAAAGTTGAAATATAATCAACCAAAATCGCTTAATGTTTAGTTTCTGGGGTGAAAAAGAAGAAGAAAAAGAACAAACCATGAAAATTTTGTGACTGGTTTTGGCCAAAACCCATCTGGACAACAGTATTGAGATCATCCTCAAAGAAACCTGGTACCTGGAAATTCATTGTCTAAGCATTATTATTATTATACAAGAAAAAACACATTACTAAGGGTATGCACTGGGTAAATCATGCTTTGTGACTTTAGCCGGCAAAGGACTACCAGGAGGTAAACCAGCCTAAGTTGCCCAAAGCTGACCGGCTCAAACCAAGAAGGCCAATAAGCCGTTTCTGCTGGGAGTCGAACTTGTAACCTTGTGGTTACCAAAGTCAACAGTCTGACCAAATTGACTGGAGTTGCCCCTATACTTGTTATTTTAGTTACCTGAGAAGCAGGCTCAAGAAAAGTGTCCATAGGAGGCAATGCCAGGCCAAGATTTCTACTGCTGTTAATGGGAAAAGGGACTTCTGATCCTTTAGGAAGGAGTGAAATGGATGGCAGAGATTGAAAAGAGTATGGGATTGGTGATCCTGAGGCCTCTGATGAGAACATGTTCTGAGCCATCGCCCCGCGATATTGGTACATCTGAAAGATTTTCACAATGGTAGACATGAATGAGTGTTCATAATTCAAGCAGAAAGTTTTGAATCAGACAGACTTTTGATAATAATAATAATAATAACTCACATCCTTGGAGAGAAGAGCTTCCATGTTGAACTCCATTCTGGGGTTTATAGTGGACAACTTCATTGACAGAAACTACAAGCCAGAAAGTATGAATGAATTACATTAAATGTAATATAATGGTTTAGATATCTAGCATTATGATATCGTTAATTTACCTCGACTTGTCGTTGCAACGATTGCACATAGTTTATGATCTCATCTAGCATAACAGCTTTTCCAGTCACCTATCATGAAAACAAGCTAAACTTTCAGAAATCTGCAGATTTTCCTTTAACTCAAAACACCATCCATTCACTAATTTATTGCACCTTATTGCAGCCTGGCACAAGATCTTGTAAAAGCTTCATTCTTTCACTAATCTTTTCTCTTCTAACCTGTTCAAAGTAGGTGTAAGTAAGATCTCCACAAGATAAACAAAGATAAACAAGAAGCAGTTTGAAGAATTTATACTCTTTCTGCAAGACTATGGGCATCAGTGGCCTGGCCCCTTCTGGCTCTAACATGAATGTAATCCTTTGGAGCTTCTTTGTTCTCCCCTGCAGCTTTATCATTTCCACTGTTTTGCTCATCTGATTTGATTCTTTTAGGATTAGATTCATTATTCTGGGATGTAGCCTGCAGAGGTAGAGTTAATTGAACTTTCCTTAATTTTTGCAAACATTAAAAGAACAGAACAAAACAGAACTGAAATTCTCATTACATTGGCAGAGGATGATGAGGGTGTGGCTGTTGTTGTTGTTGTCTCTTTGGCCTTCCCCTTTGCAGCAGATTTCCTCTTTCTTGAATTTGCATCATTTTTGGCGTTTTCCCCAACTGGAATCTGTTCAGAGACAGTGGAATTCTCCCTGGAATCGCCTAATTCTGAGTTTTCTAGCGTTAATTTCTTGCTGGGAGCTGAGGTTTCCTGAATGGCCGCCATTTGAGATCCGTGAACCTTGACGGAGAGCCCGGAAAGCTTCCCGGAGTTCACCAAACTCTTGTCGGAAAAACAAGAAAATCTTGCGGCCCTCTCTGCGAATCCAGGATCCGCGGAGAAACTCGAGAGGCCAGGATGGATGGGGAAATTGGCGCCCCTGATCTGATGATCCGCCATTGATGAAAGGTTTAGCTTAGGAGGGGAATTCAAGGGGGTGTTATAACAAGAACTGTTAGTACAGGCGGCCGGAGAAATGTCGCCGGGGCTATCAAAGCTGCCTAGTCTGCCAATCAGTTCCCTGAGCACAAAATTCTCGTTCCCCCCGGAAGCGTTGGCAGCCGCCGGCGCTACTCCGGCGTTGGACGCCGCCGGAGACGACACCATGGAGCTCAACGCCGACTCGAACGGGTCACTCTGATCCACCGGATTCTCCCAACTGGGATTGAAGAAATCATTGGCCTCAACTCCAACTCCATATGGCATTGTGATCCCATCACTCAAAAACAAATTTTGTTTATCCATGTTAGGGAATTGAACACTTGAAGAATCACCTCAAGAAAACTTCAAATTCTGGCAAAATGAACTAGAGTTCACACTATAATTTTTTTTTTTTTTAATTTTAATTTGTGGGCTACCTTTTGTAGGGAATAAGAAAAAGAAAAAGTGGAAGAAAAAGGCGAGACTTTTGGAGGCCCTAAGAGGGTTATTATATAAAAGAAGAAGACAGAGAAGATTGTAATGATGAGAGAGAAAGTGAGGGGAGAAAAAATGGTGGGCAGTGAAGGAGAAGAAGGGGGG